CGGGAATAATTGCAAGCTTCAAACTTAGGTATCGAAAACAATGGATTAATTACATGTTGCGCTAGCTAGATTCTAATAAGAACCCTAATAAAACAGTTAATATTCTAAAGGCGATACAGTGGAGTCGACTTACGTAGGAAGCACTTAAAGCACCAAAAATCCAGAAGTGTTGGTGGCGATCGACTCTCATAAAAAAACCCGAAAATATGGATATGCATCAAGATAATACTGCTGAGGTCGAGGAACTAGGAATGGAAGTTGCGAGGCTACTAGGAGATATGCCAATTGCAGATTTTCTCAACCCTATAGGCGAAGAGATAGTTGACAGAGATGAAGATATTTTTAAAGCTATAGTACAGAGATACACTATTACAGAGGAGGATGGGATTGCAGACAGGGACGAGGAAGGGGAAGAGGAAGAGATCCGACCATCACTTGCGGAAGCAAGCTAGGCGCTGAATACCCTTTAATTATTTGCTTCCTCGTTAAAGATGGAGGTCAGATTTCAGTAATAAAGGCATTAGAACAGATTGGCAAGGATATCTCGCAAGAGAAAGTCGCGAAGAGTACCTAACGTTTACTAGATGGCTGGGTGTCAAAGTAGCATACAATTTTTTTTTTTTTTACATATAACGTGCATGTATAACGAAAGTGCCAAACAAGCAAATCATGCGGTGACCAACCCCCCCAACTAAATGTTAAATTCCTCCACAACAAAACATGCGCCATAAAAATGATGAAAGCAAATTAGTGCTAGCTATCCAAGCTATGCAAAGCGACCCAAATTTGCGCCTTCGAGTTGCAGCTAGGATCTATTCAGTAGACCACCGCAAGCTACGTCACTGTTTACAAGGCGTACCTTCACGATGCGATATCCAAGCCAACTTACGGAAATTAAGTAACCTAGAGGAATCAGTTCTTGTTCAGTATATACTTGACTTAGCTGCTAAAGGGTTCCCTCCTCAGTTGTCTATTGTTGAAGATATGGCAAATTGACTACTTGCAACACGTGACGCGCCACGCGTCGGGTCACGTTGGGCTTCAAACTTTGTTAAGCGCCATGTAGAGCTCCGGACACGCTTCCAGCGAAAATACGACTACCAGAGGGCTAAGTGCGAAGATCCAGAAGTCATTCGTGGCTGGTTTGAGCTTGTATGGAACACAATTCTAAAGTATGGCATCAACAATGCAGATATCTACAACTTTGATGAGACTGGGTTTATGATGGGCGTCATCTCAAGCGCAACGGTAGTAACGAGCTCAGATGGGCGGGCAAAGGCAAAAAAGGTGCAGCCTGGCAATCGGGAATGGGTTACAGTAATCCAAGGCGTTAGTTCTCAAGGTTGGGCAGTGCCGCCATTTGTCATTGTGACAGGTAAAAACCACCTTGCATCTTGGTATGAGAATAGCAGATTTCCAGCAGATTGGGTAATCGCTGTTACTGCAAATGGCTGGACTACAAACGAGAGAGGTATGGATTGGATTCAGCATTTTGAGAAGCACACAAAGCCCTGGAGTGTTGGTGGTTATCGCTTGTTAGTCCTTGATGGTCATGAGAGCCACCACTCAGACAAGTTTGAGGAGTACTGCAAAGAACACAACATTATTACGCTTTGTATGCCTGCTCACTCTTCCCATATACTCCAACCACTTGATGTTGGCTGTTTTGGCCCATTAAAGAGAGCTTACGGTCGGCAAATTGAAGATATGATGCGGGCTCATATTATTCACATTACTAAGGATGACTTCTTTCCTGCCTTCCACACTGCATTTAACATTGCAATGACAGAAAGCAATATTCAGGGAGGGTTCCGAGGTGCTGGGCTTCTTCCATTTAGCCCTGAGAGTGTAATATCTACACTTGACCTTAGGTTTAAGACGCCAACACCTCCAACCTCTCGCCCAAACACCGCTCAACCATGGGTTTCTCAGACACCAAATAACCCAACTGAAGCTGTATCACAGTCTACTTTCATTAAAAACTGAATTGCGCATCATCAAAATAGCTCTCCAACCTCAATCTATGCAGCTGTTGACCAGTTTACAAAGGGTGCATCGCAAATAATGCATCAATTAGCATTGTTAAAAGCAGAGAACCAAAACCTGCGACAGGCAAATGAAGTGCTAAGCAAGCGCCGGAGAGCTAAAAAAACACGACTACAGCAAGGAGGATCACTTAGTCAACAGGTAGCACAGGAGCTACAGGACGAGAGGGACGTTGTGCAGCAAGTAGAGCAAGAAATAAGGGCAAGTAGTGGTCGGAAGCCAAGGGAAGAAACCCATGCACGTCGCTGTGGCAAGTGTGGTGAGACTGGACACAATGCGCGCACTTGTCAGATTGTAATAGACAGGTCTGAGGAAGAGGACTCCGAGTAGTTTTGATTAATTTATATTGTTGTGGTGGATTTATCGCAATTCTTATGGGGTAGTCGCGATATTTTGGCACTTTCGCTTGTTTGGCACTTTCGTTATACATGCACGTTATACTATACTACATTATAAAACGGCAAGACCAATTGATTGGCTATCATTTGTCGAAATTCAGGATTGGCTGGCTTAAGTTTAGGTCCCATTTCTTACTACCCTAGGTTTAGCATATAGAGTTCTCCTTTACGGTTGCAGTCTGTGAGCCCTTAGTGTGCAGAGTTTTCCTTTACGCCCTGTCCGTAATCTGTAATCGCCTTTCATTCTGCCTGTATCCTATTCGGTACCCTATCCTGCTCTGTATTTGCTTAAATGTTAAGGATCTAATGAGTTCGTCCCCTCCTATTCGGTGTGCGTACTGCGGTTCTTACCGCGAGTCATCACTCTTCCGTACCAATCGCTAGGTCGCCGGTACGCAACTTGCAATTTGTGTTCAACCAGTCACTCTTCTCGCTGTAGCCTCCGCACCCAGGAAAGGCTGGTACCAGTGCCTACTCCTAGAACCACAGAAAGCTTACAGCCTGTTACGGACATTGTTCTGCCGCAAAGACGTGGCCGTGGTCGTCCGTCACGCTGGCCACCTGCTCCCTTGCCACTTCGCCCTATTTCACCTCACGTAACTCAATCTACTCAACTATGACCCATGGGCCATGTGGTGAGGACCATCCAAAGGCTCCGTGTATGGCACGTAAAACACCTACCTCACTACTACGATGTACGAAACAGTTCCCGGAGCCTTTTACTGCTACTAGTGTTGTAAATGATGAGGGGTATCCATAATACAGGCGTCGGGATGATGGCCGTACTTTTACAGTACCCCGGCCAAGTGTATGGACATAGACTGTTGTCTGTAACAACCGTTGGGTTGTTCCGTATAACCCGTACCTACTTCAGAAATACCGCTGTCATATGAACGTTGAGGTCTGTAGCACAGTACAGGCTGTAAAATATATCCACAAATATATCTATAAGGGCTCCGACCATGCTACCCTTCAGGTTGAGGCTACGGATGATATATTGGGCTGACTGAGGCTATATGGCGTATTATGGAGTACGTAACCCATGGCGAATACCCACCCGTAACACAACTTACAGTACACTTAGAGTACCAGCATACCGTCTACTTTCCAGATGGACTTTCAACTCAAGAGCTTACTGCAAGGCTTAGTCGTACAGATACTACTTTAATGGGCTTCTTCCGTTACAATGCTATGTATGAGGATGGCAGGACCTTCTTATATTCTGAGTTTCCTACTCGATTTGTCTGGACTAAGGCTATGCGGAAATGGACTCCCCGTAAAAGGGGCTTAGATCGTAACATTGGGCGTATGTTTCATTGTAGCGCTACTGCTGACGAGAGATTCTAGCTACGGATGTTATTGACTGTCGTCCGTGGACCGACGTCCTTTACGGATCTCCGTACGTATAACAGTATATGTTATGAGACTTTCCACCAAGCCTGTATTGCGCGAGGGTTAGTAGAGAATGACCAGGAATGGATTGAATGCTTTAATGAAGCTATCATCTTTACCAGTGGTTATGGCCTACGGACACTGCTTCTTACGGGTTTACGGATAGGAATGATCGCTGAGCCGCTCCTCCTTTGGAACCAGTTTAAGGACCACATCTGCGACGACCTATTACGGGAGCTAAAACGGAGGAGCATTTCTATTAGCTCCCTTCAAGAACCACATCTTGATTATGGGCTGTATTTGCTTTCTGTTGGCCTTACGGATATTGGGAAAACTCTTACGGACTTCAACCTACCTCTTCCTCAGTATAGCTGGTCTCAACTACCTTTGATCCTATAGTTGAAACAGCTCTTGCGGAAGATTTAGTCTCAAGATTAAATCAGGACCAGCTTTTATGCTTCCGTACAATCTGTACGGCTATTGAGATTGAGCCGCAGACTGCCCACTTCTATCTACAAGGGCCAGGGGGGACTGGCAAGACCTTTCTATATAAGGCTTTATGCCATTTCTTCCGTGCCCAAGGAAAATCAGTTCTCTGCGTGGCTTCTACAGGTATTGCAGCCTTACTGTTACCAAATGGGTGCACTTCTCATACCCAATTTAAGATTCCAATTGATCTTACGGATAAGACCTCCTGTTCTATTACCCGGAACTCAAGGGTAGGGCGGCAACTTCAAGAGGCAGGTCTAATTATATGGGACGAGGTTCCTATGCAGCATAAATACTCTTTGAGGCTGTCCACCGACTATTATGCGACCTACGGTCTACTACGGACGACGTGCTATTTGGTTACTCAAGGAAGCAGACTCAACGGGGTTCCCCGTTCATCTTTTTTGTATCCTTCATAGTAGACCTATAGGATAGCATCCGTTTAGCCTCCGACTCGCACTCTCATATGCTATTACTGTGAGCTGGGTGCCCTGTGTCCTTACAATGATGACACTACCCAAAGTGGCAGCAGTCCAGCCCTAGCAGTGGCAGCAGTCCAGCCCTAGCAGTGGCAAGTGGCCCGTTCTATACATGTACACAAGAAGACTAATGTGACGATAGACTCCCTCAAAGGGTAGACGAAAGCGAGTCTCAGCATCACAAGGTCAATCCAAGATGTGTGGTGCAGGTAGCCCGTTACTAAATGACCTATCCCGACTCTCTGAGGCGACTGTTGCTGGTTATTTGGGTTACTCAGATGCAGTGCATCTGCGCCAGTTGATGTGGTCATACCCAGTGATGAAAGGGGCAATGGTTTTTGAGACAGTTTTTAAGAAACAGCTCCAGGTGCATGCAACCTCAATACTAGAGGCCTCTATTGAGAATCCAGAAGCGTACGATTACGAGTTGGATCTTAGTACACTCATTGCCAGTTATACTCTCCATAGTGAGGAAGAGAAGGCAGATCAAGAGGCAATAAACCTGGTGCAGAAAATCCTATTTGCAGGTACAATTCACCATACTGCCAATGCTCTTGAAACACTTGAGTACTTAACCATTGAGGACGCTCAACTTCAATCCGATTTTACCTATCACCGTGTCAATAACACCAAGGTTAAGGCCTTCAAAGTCCCCCAGTTTAACAAGTCAGCTCTGCTTTGCCCGACCCTTGGCCCGCTTTCACAATTTGGCGAGCACCCTATGGAGCGATACTGTGCCTACACATGCATCAGATACCTTTTGTACCAGACAACCGCCTCTAAATTTGCTGCTACTACGACAAAGGTCGGGAAGAACACATACTTTGCACCTAGCGAAGTGACTTTAGATAGGCTCCCAGCTTGGATGAGCAAGGACACGGTGTTGGAGACCCCAGGGGCAGAGGCAATTATTGATCTTATGCACCAATACAAGCCTGCGCCCAACCAAATTTCTCTCCGGCTTGTTCGTGAAGATGTCACTGACGATGATGACAAACTCACTGATCATATCAACACCTTCCTCCGGCGCTGCAAGATCCATCTACAAAAAGAGGACACTACCTACCAGCACGATACAAGTGAGTTCAACGTCGGCCCTCAATGGCGTGACCACCTACGACACGTGTTGTTGCTCCCTCGTCTCTGGTGCGATTTCAGTACCTTGACGTTATTCTCACTTAACGAGGCTATAGCAATCGAGCCAGGCCCTGTACATGTTCCAAAGGAGTGTCCGTGGACTATCTACAACAACGACAATCCTGAACAGGTAATTCCCTGGACTGACGTTCAAGAGATCCTACAAGCTGGGGCCAAGTTTCAGATTCAATATGCCCTCAAGGTAATTGATACCAATGAGGACGGTCCATATCCATTTGAGTTTAATGGGGGACCTATCCAGGTGCGCAGTAACATTGCTATTGCTACTACTGTATCTACAGCAATCCGGGATACTATTATGGCAGATGAACCTGACAACACTAGACCTCAACCTATGGAGAGCCTGGCATTAGATGACAAACCCCAGTGTGATGATAAGGGAAAGGGGCCCAAAACCACAGAAGCTGCTACCACCACCCCCTCATATCTAGAGGGAGTCCTGTCTGGGGCAAACACACACGGCATTCGAGGGGCTATAACCCCAGATAAGTTATTTGGCGACAGCCAATTGTAACGCTGACTTCTAAATGATAGAAGACACAGAGGTTCTCTTGCGTAAAGGTTTACTTATCAGAGGAGGCAGGGGATCAGACACAAAGGCTTCAAGTAACACGTTACTAGTATATAACAAATACTGTATTGAGTTGAGCACGAAGCTCCTATCTAAGGAAATACTATCTACTTATATAGTGGCGTCGTGCCTAGTGGACTCTTGGGAACTCACTCGAGTCCTTGGAGTCCTGGACTCTTAGGACTCTTCTCATCATCCTGCGAGTCCATCACGTGCCTAGTGGACTCCTGGGAACTCACTCGAGTCCTCGGAGTCCTGGACTCTTAGGACTCTTCTCATCATCCTGCGAGTCCGTCACGTGATACTTTCGGAACTACTATTCCCCGCTGCCCCTCCAGGTACCAGGGCCGGTCTCATGCGACCTCCCTCCTTCCTGTCCTGTAGTTGGCCAGCCTTCTTGTTCCGTCGTAACACTCGCTCCCTTCCCCTGGGCATTCGTCTCGAATCCTATAAGTACGTCCATGTCCCCGGGACTCTGCTGCTCCTCAGCGAGTCCTTCAATATGCAACATGCCTACTGACACTGCCCGCAAACTCCAGGAACGCAACGATCTTGTCCGTCGAATAAAGAACCACGGATACGAACTACCCGAAATGGATTCTTGCTCGAACTGCGTGAGGCGAAACATTACTTGCGTGTCGTCTCCAAATGATTCACGGCGGTGCGCCGAGTGCGTTCGTCGCAACTTGAAAGAAAAGTGTGACTGTATGGGTCCTGAGCATCCCGACTGGGTGAAGCTCGAATGGGAGGAGGATCGCCTGGATCGCGAAGAGGAAGAAACCCTTTCGAAGTTACTTCGTCTGCGAAAGCAGAAACGCCTCATCCGAACCCGTGGTAAAGATATGCTCCGACGAGGTTTGAAAACCCTCGACGAGCTTGATGCGGCAGAGGAGGCCGAACGTGTGGCTGCTGAGAAGCGTGACGCTGTTGAGGCTGAGGAACAGGCAGTTAGCGCTGCCTCCTCGTCTGTGACCGGGACCCTCGCTTCCTCCGATCCACTGGCCTACTCCCCTGCATCTTGGGATCAATGGCTGGCGGATGGCGGCGTCGATATTCCTCCAGCAGTTCTTTGCTGATGTTCCTTGTTGGTTCCCACGAATTATCCGTAGGTTCGTAATTTTCCCATTTTATCAAAAACTCTTCTCGACGTCCTACTAACCTTCTGTCTAGGATCGCTTCGACCTCATATTCGATTATCTCATTCTCGGGTTGGAGTTCGGTGTCCGGTCGCAACTGGGGGTATTTCCTCTTGCTGGTTCCAGTAGTGAGACATGAAATACCGGGTGTAGTCTAGACTTCCTGGGTAGCTGCAGTCTGTAATTAACTGAGCTGACTTTGTTCAATATTTTGAATGGTCCCAATTTCTTGAAGTCCAACTTTGTGCTTGGTCGTTTCGTTTTGATATGTTTCCGGAGTAGGTATACTTTATCCCCCTCCTTGAAGGCAGGTTCCATACTGCGCTTCTTGTTTGCGTATGCGGCGGATCGTTCATTTAAGAATTGGATGTCCGTCGCAAGTTGTTCGTGGAACGATTTCAGTTGTTCCACCACGATCAGGGCTTGTTCAGCTCGTGATTCATCCGGTCTTGGTTGCCTATATGCTTCTGGCTGGTAGCCATAATTGGCAAAGAACGGTGAGACTTTCGTTGCTTCTGTCATCGCGCTGTTATATGCAAACTGTGCGATGGGTAAGATCTGAACCCAGTTATCCGTTGATGATTGACATAGCTTCGCAGGTACTGTTCAAGGGTCTGATTTAATCTTTCTGTTTGGCCGTCTGTCTGGGGATGAAAAGCTGTTGATAGCTTATGATTTGTTCCCAGTAGCGCCATCAATGATTTCCAGAATTTCGAAGTAAAGAGCTTGTCTCTATCTGAGATGATTTCTTCTGGCATCCCATGATCGGCTAATATGACTCGAATGAAGGTATATGCGAGCGCCTCGGCGTCGCTAGCTTCTAGATATGGTATAAACTTCCCATATTTCGTGAGTCTTTCCATGATGACGAGGATAGAGTCGTATTCTATTCCTGTTAACGGGTCCTTGGAGGGTAGAAGCTTGACGATGAAGTCCAAAGCTATTGATTTCCACGCTCCTTTTGGTACTGGTGTCGACTTGAGTTGTCCGTATGGCAGATGCCTATTGGATTTTGACTTGCTGCAAATGTCGCACTCTCTTACCACTGTCTCTACCTGCTTCCTCATACCTGGGAAGTAGTAGTGTCGGGTGATTCGTTCGAAGGTTCGTGTTACTCCCTGATGACCGTGTGCTGGTAACGAGTGTTGTTCTTGCACCAGCGGGCGTCTCATTTGACTTGGGACATACACTAACCCTTTGTATCGAATCAATCCTTGTTCGTCGATGGTGAAGTCGCCTTCGACTTTGGACAAGACTCGCTTGGCGCATTCGTCTGTTGCGTAAGCTTTCTTGAGTCTTTCCTCGAGTTCTGTATCTTCGATGACTGAGATCGTCGCTAGTAACTCGTTGTACTGTATTCCTGCATCTGTTTTCTTCAGAATTGCTCTAGGTCTTTCTTCCTTTGGGCCGGCGTAGTCGGTCCGTCTGCTGAGAGCGTCTGCTCTTGCATTCTCGGAGCCCTTGCGATAGGTTATCGTGAAGTTGTAGGCTGCGAGGGTTTCTGCCAGCGGACTTGTCTGCGGTTTAAAACCTTGGTCGTGGTGAAGTATATGAGGTTCTTGTGATCCGTCCATACCTGCACAGGGTAGGTGGGTCCCTCAAGATATACTCGCCACTGCTCAAAGGCAACGACAATAGCCAGTAGCTCCTTGTCGTGGATGTCGTAATTGAGTTCCGCGGGTGACAGTTTCCTAGAGTGTACGCGATTGGTTTGAACTTACCGTTCTCGTCTGGTTGATTCAGACATGCTCCAATTGCGAAGTCAGAAGAGTCCGTTTCGAGGATGATCTTCTTTGCAGGGTCAAATGTAGCAAGGATAGGTGCTTCCGTGAACTTCGTCTTAAGTTCCTGGAAGCAGCCTCTGCCTTGTCCGTCCATTTGAATTCGAGATCCTTTCTGGTAAGCTCCGTGAGTGGTTGAGCTACCTTGGAATATCCCGAGATGAATCTCCGGTAGAAGTTGGCGAAGCCTAGGAAGGCTTGCACTTCCTTGACCGTGGTCGGTGTTGGCCATTCCAACACTGCCGTTACTTTTGCTTGTCCATCTTGATGCCGTGCGTTCAATAATGTAACCCAAGAATTCGACTTGGTTTTTATGGAACTCGCACTTCTCTGGTTTGAGGAGTAAGCTGTACTCCTTTAGTTTCTTCAGGACGAGTTTGACATGCTTGACATGCTCCTCCTTGGTTGCTGAATACACAGGATGTCGTCTAGGTAGACAATGGTAAAGATGTCTAAGTATTCGTGCAAAGCATCATTCATCAGTCGTTGCATGGATGCGGGTGCGTTTGTTAGCCCAAAGGGCATGACTTGATACTCGAATAGGCCATAGCGGGTGCGGAATGCTGTTTTCCACTCTTCCCCAGCCTGGATTCGGATCAGGTTGTATGCTCCTCGCAGATCTAGCTTACTGAAGATCTTTGCTCCTTGAAATCTATCGTGTAGTTCGTTGATTAACGGCAGGCATACCTGTCCTTGATTGTGATGTTGTTCAACGCTCGATAGTCCACACATAACCGTAGGGAGCTGTCTTTCTTTGGTACGAAAAGCACCGGACTTCCTGCTGGTGATGTGGATGGTCTGATGAATCCTTTCGCTAGGTTATCATCGATGTACTCCTTAAGTACCTTCAGCTCCTTTTCCGATAGCTGATATATTGGTCCGAACGGTGGACTCTTGTCTTTCTCCAAAGGTATCTCGTGATCCCATGGTTGGTGCTTAGGAAGCGCCTCGTTCTTAGGCCTTCCTGGAATAATCGCTCGTATTCCTTGTACTCCACCGGTATACTCATCGGGAGGATGCCTGGGCTAGGTCATCGAGCTCGGAGGTTGCACATAACTCCTTCCGGCCCTGGGAGGGTTTCTCCCGTTGTCGCGTGTCCGTCCGTTGTTCACACGCGCACTGGCTCATCACAACTTTCTCGTTCCACCAGTCGATCTGGGGGTTGTGTTTCTTGAGCCATGGCANGCTCGTATTCCTTGTACTCCACCGGTATACTCGTCGGTGAGGATGCCTGGGCTAGGTCATCGAGCTCGGAGGTTGCACATAACTCCTTCCGGCCCTGGAGGGTTTCTCCCGTTGTCGCGTGTCCGTCCGTTGTTCACACGCGCACTGGCTCATCACAACTTTCTCGTTCCACCAGTCGATCTGGGGGTTGTGTTTCTTGAGCCATGGCATACCAAGGATGCACGCATGGTTGTCCATGTGCACGATGTCAAACTGAATCGTTTCCTTGTGCCCGTGTAGCATGACCATTTCCAATGGGACCGTTTCGTGGGTCACCATTCCTTCATTAGTCGAGATGGGCTCTCCATCTACGACCATTAACGGGTATGGTTCGGTTTTCAATTGCGTCTTGAAACCTTGCGTGTCTGCTACTTTCTTTGTCATAAAGTTGCCCGTCGCTCCTGAGTCAATCATTGCTCGGAGGTGTCGCTGTTGTATCTTAGCGACCACATATAGTTGCATGCTGCCCGTCGTGGGCATAGTTGGTCTGTACTAGGCCTCTTCGTGTCGCTCGCCGGTGGCCTACCGTCGAGGACTCCTAGTTTTTTGACTCGTCCGAGGAAGGATAGTATTCATCCGCTTCCAATGGTGGTCCTTGGGGAGATCGTTTCCCTCGCTCTTCTGCTTCGTCTAGCAGATGTGGGTATTTCTCGTATACCTGTTCGCTTTTTTGATAGGCAAGTCCCCTTCAGACTGGCTTCGCCTGAGGCGATGAACTTGCTCTGCGTCTCTGAAGTGTATCCTGGGCGAGGATCGGGGAAACAACTGATTCTGGTGTTTCTTTTTCCAGTGGAGCTTGCAA